GTGGCCGGGCATACTTTTCAAGCTCGCCCGGTGTGGATATGCACTCAGAGTAACACCACAAATATCATATTCACCTGAGTACACTACACCACCAGAGAAAAAAAAATCATATTCTAATGTTGTTGAGTTAACCCATTGAGCACCAGCACTCTCCCCCTGATGAGTAAAATTGTCCAGATGGTGTTAGACAGAGTGAAATAATGAAGCAGGGTGCATTGGGCACACTGCATCTTAATGGTTAAATGGTTAACTAGATACATGGGTAGATAGTCTGAATAACCCATTGAGGGCCAGCAGCGCTCTCCCCTTGACAAGTAAAATTGTCGGGCGTTAGACAAGGTAAAATAATAAACTAGGGGCCACTGGGGCACAGTGCAATGGGTAAAACCCAGACAAGATGTATCTCATCAAGGGGAAAGTATATGGGGTGCTATTGGGTTACCATAAATTAATGTTAATAAAAGTTATAACTTAGCTCAAAATTACATTTATCAATTATCATTCTACTCCCAGGTAAATCGGGTATTGTTGCCGAGCGTCTTTCAGCCTCCCTTGCCTCAACCGGCACACCATCGCATTATGTTCATGCAGCCGAGTGGACACATGGAGACCTGGGTCGAGCTCGTAATGGAGATGTTGCCGTGTTTCTGTCGCACAGTGGGAATACAAAGGAATGTGTTGCTGCCGCCCAATTGTTGAAGGATCGTGGAATTACAGTGTTATCCATTGTTGGAAAATATGGTAATCATAGTATTAATTTACTGTAGTTACAGTAGGTGTTAATGTGACATAATGACTTCCATCTTTGTGATTGGGATTGATCATTTTCTGAATTAAATATGCACTTGTTTAGTTATGATTCCATCTCATTTGCATATTAATGGATACAGCTTGACTTTACCAGACACAACAGATTTTCTCCAGAGTCCAGATATAATCTCGAACGATCTGTGCCAGCGTAGGCAGTGGCAATATTAACGGAAAGTTTCGGATTTATAGGGATACAACTACCTGAAAAATACAAGGAGAACTTCTGGTTCCTCCTGTAGTAGTACTGGTCCAATACGGGATGGCGTTTACTGGGGCTTTTATAGGGAGAACGCCCCCCAGTAAAACAAGAATGAAAATCAACATGCATCTAGATAAATTATTCTTTTTTAATCAGATTGTGGTCTT